GTATTCTGCCCCAACAGTGGCACCCGTCACAAACACATGCAAAGGCAAGTTAAGAAAGGAAATATTATAAATATTATAAATTATGGAAATACATCGGACATAATTGTTGTCACTGATGCCTCAAATTTAGATATGTCCTCCACATACAAAACAAAAATCGTCTTAAAACCTTTGCTTCTGGTGTAACCTGTAATCAAACAGCTTTTAAGCAATAGTCAGTCATAAGACGCTCTTTGAAATCTTCGAAGAAAGTCAAAATCGAGTACTGCATCGGACCTCATTTTGGTCACAGATGCATCAAATTTGGAATTTCCTCCACATACAAACCATAAAACTTTAAAAGATCTGCTCGAGACCGACCTACACTAAAGCGGAATCGCTAGTGCTGTTTTCATCAGCATCCCACATAAACGCAGCGTTTGGTCTCAAGTACTAAGTATTTCAATTTTAGTTCATGAGGCTTTTTACATGATTAACTTATGAGACAGACAGCACCAGGTATGAACACACCTTTCTTCATCTAATTTTGATTGCTATTTTGCTTTTAACGTCCAATGAAGTCTGTATCGTCGGATAATCGAGACTAGTTATTCTCTGGCGTTCACGTTTTATATTGGTTTGAGTGAAGCACATACACCATATCACTCTCATTTCAATAATGTTCAATAAAATGTCAATTGAATATGATGCCGTTATGACCACACACTTTGTCCACGATGTGTTAAGCCACCTTCATGGTGGGGAATACATTGTTAATCCCTGGTCAACGTGTTACAAAAGTACACACCTAGAACTGTGAACTGCCATGACGCCTTATAGCAGTGGAGTTCCAAATATCACTTCTTACTTTTCGAAATGATTATGGATACTATACAGAATTATTCTACTCATAATTGCGGTAAGGATGTGCCATCGGTTATGTAGTGGCAAGTACGTCGATAAAGGCTTCGTACAATATATATTTAAAGGGACAGCTTTGTGTAGCTCGTTAATAATTCTTGAAATATCAAGATAAATTAGATGACAACGTTTCATTTCATTACTATTTGACTATGTTCCAGTGGTAACTCTATACTTAGTTAATTATGATAGATGTTTTTTTAAAATATATCGGATTAATGCAAAAACCTAATAGTAACTTCCGTTCATCACGAAAAATATTATTCTAACTGATCGATAATTTCACACATCATACATGTCATACATCATTGTCATATTTCTTTGAACCTGTTACATATATACATGCATAATGTGTTACAGCAATGAGTCTTCAAAGGAGTTCATTTGAAATTGAAAAAAACGATAAAAGGTATAATGTCGACTTTCTTTATGTAAAAATGTGAATGTCAAATATGATAAACGACGCCAAAGTCAATTTCAAAGTGTGCATCATAAACATACACGATATGAACAAGAATATTATGACGTTAAAAGGTTTTAAAAACAATATTAACGGTGTACAATTAGCCTTAGAACCATGCACAAATGCGATACAAAATACGATATACATCAGGAAATTAGGAAAAGTCATTCAACACATCGGTTCAAGAGAAAGATAATTAATCGAGATATGAGTGTGTGTATATATAGCTATATCGCTATGCTTCCCAACTGCGTGGATCGGTGCTCATGATGTCAATTACTGGATTGTCTGGTCCAGACTAGATTATTTACAGACCGCCGTCATATAGCTTAGATATTGCTGAGTGCGGCATAAACAACGAAGAAACAAAACAAAACATCCAATCTCTCCAACGTCTTGTGGAGTACATGGAATACACGATATATGCAAAAAAACAACAGAAGAGACATCAAGGTTACTTCATTCTGGTTTCCTCAAAGGACATTAATGTTATAATATTTTCTATACTGTGAAGTTATATTTCATTCTTTAGACATTTAATACCGCATTTCGATTGATCGATATTTGTGGGCAGAAATTGAAAAACGGACTTTACAGTAAAATATTCCTTATCATCAAACAATTATATTTTTGACTTTCACCGAACAATTACTTATCACCCAACACTCAGTAACATCGGTAACATCCGACTTCAGAGGACGTTTTATTAATAAAATCCGCTTGTCGGATGCTGATTTATCTTTTCTTGTTCATTGGATGTTTATGTTCACACTGACAATGGGAAACGTTAGAGCATGAAAGCAAACTAATTGTGAAGCAGTAAGAGTAACGTGTTAGTCTAATTCTTCAGCTGAACTTTTGACATCCGTAAACAAATCCAATTAACTATTTCCAGAGGTTTTGGGCATTCTTTGATTGTGACAATCTATATTTGTATGTTATATTTGTTTACGTCTTAAACGCAGCTGCAACGGCTGTCATGCGTGTACCATCTAAGTTAATCTGACGGGGCGCACATGGAAAACGTGCGGCGTTCATCTGAATCAGCAGGCCTTGTGTTGAATTCAGAATACTAAAGTAAGGTCTTTCAGAATCTTAAATCAGAATATCACAGTTAAAGACACCCGTTAAGTCCAAAATGAGATATCTGCCTAGAAACTCAATTTCCGATGGTAGCTTAAAAAGTAAAGACATCATTGCCAACAAGGTCTCGATTGTTCACAGATCATAATTGTGTTCATAATTCATTTATTCTCCGCTATGCCAACACCCGGGGCCATGTAATCTTTTCTCACATTAGCACTTTAATTGTTTTTTTCCCTTTATATGCAGCGATACGCTCGAGTCATTGAAAGCCCTTGTGTGGGGATGAGAAGAAACATACAGAGAGAACTAGATGTGGATATTACTACCTGGACACCGTTCAACAAAGCGATCTTAGTTGATGCGATCGTAACTACCATACTTTAACATTAACTTACGACAGTCGTAACTCAGATTGTTCCATGGAAAGGTACCCTTCTCTAGAGAGTAGAAACTAAGTATTTAGTAGTAGCGTCAACCTATGTATTGCCAGTAATGAGATTTAGTTTCCTTATTGCGCCAGAAACTGTGTTCCTAATATGTCGTGACCTTCTGAGTTGGCTTTCTTTGCCCGTTGAGCGCGATATGTCATGAGAGCTCCGTGGCGCTAAATAGCAAGCTGCTCCAGTCTTGATGGTTCGTAGAGCCCTTTGACCAGGCACTTATCCGCCACTCAGACAGTTCCTGACATCTCTGTAACATGCTTTTGACTTCGGCTTTTGATTATGTACAGGAAGGACCAAGGCATAATATCCCCAGAACAAAGATCACTGGAAAATCTGACAATTGCTGCATCTCTGTACCCTCCGGGCACCATCGATATACGGAAGGTGAACAGTGCCACAGTGTTTCTGGGAAACTCGTAAATGTGGCTGAACGGTAGGTAATGGGAGATCTTACACCCCAACACCCGACACCATGGACTGATAAACAGCACAGTTTGTAGCAACGGTCAATAACGTTACAGCAATAGCTGCTGTATCTATGAAAGTGGTGACAGCGTGTTTAGGTCACCCTTGTTTTGCTTTATGGTCCTTTCAAGATGAGAGCACTAACTGGTTACACATTTTCAACGTAAAGTATCTGATAATATGCTGGTTTAACTGCCTGTAGATACATCCGCAACACCGCACGGATACATGTTAGTGCCTGTCATCGGAACAACTACAACGAGTGCTACAACTAGTGGGAGTATTCTATGTCACAATCTTACGATGATCTTGGCTTCGTTCAGTATTCTGAAGTATAATCGTCTACCTGATTTACTGTTATCAATAAATCTTAATCATATCTAAACTTTTGGCAATCGAGATTGCTCATATAGAGAGAGAGAGAGCAGGTGCACATACACAAATATACTCAATACATGTTATTTACATACACGTTATTTTGTAGCTACTGGCATATATTCCTTCAGGCCTTGTTTAAGAATTATGTCCCAGCAAGGCTTCCATACCATACAATTGCACAATCACCATATGTCATGAGGCCAAACTAAGATATTGAAAGTGATCGAAATTCTCTGAATGAAGCAGGGAAAGTGCGGACTGATGGCGCTAGCGGTGACAGCTTTTGTTGCGAAGGAGGAACTCTGATAAGCGCGAAAAGCAACAGGATGAGTTCATTCCGTAGAAATACGAAGTTAAACACTTCGAGTTTTTTAAACACCAAATACACATTAGGTTTCTCGCCAGCGGCATCAGGTTATAGATTTGGTTTGGGCGTTAACAGTCTGATTGAAAATTTGTCAGCAGCTGAGTTAAGCAGATGTGTCTTTGAAGTAAAGACGCCTATTTTCTGTGATGCAATTATGGCAAAAATATATTGTCGTGATATAGATGTAAATAGGAACAAAATGCTGTTTCATCTCAACGTGGAAAGACGTCCCAAACAACCGTTGATTGTATACACGAGAAGCTAATGCAGGGTCGCTCTGAGTATCTTTTTAAGCCAAGCTTTCTTTGCTGTGGCTGAACCTACGACACAGTGTGACGACATTAATCATGTGTAGCGCAATGTAGCGAGGAAAGATAAAGAAATGTCTGTCGCATTTCGCAATACTTAGACGAATTGAAGAAATCTAAATTTGACGCCCTGCGGTACTATGTTAGTTTGAAAGGCCACTCGGTTGTTCCTCTAAGAGGAATCAATACCCAAAGAGATACATACCATTCAAGTCCGTATGCAGATGTATTTATATCAAGTTCGTCTTATCGTTGCCGGGTCTCACATATGTCATTTTGACTATGGCAATCTAGATAGCTCTCCGAGATGAATACTAAATGACAGTGCACATCTTGATACTGTCTTAAGTGTATTGGACTTGTCACCAGCTATAAGCAAATTGAACAACCAAAGCTCAAAACCGCATCCTAATGCGTTGCTTTTGATTTTATACATCTTCTTTCACCCAGTAAGCGCGACCTGATGGTCACGTGACTTTGTTCCATTAGACGGAACGAGGTGCTGCCATCATTTTTCTGTGAGGTACTGCAGAATAATCTGATTGTTGTAAAGCAATTAGCAACCCCGAGAAGGACTTCTTGAGAAGTGAAAGAGATCAAACTCGTTTATTGATCGTTTTTGCGTATTTCAACATGCAGAGATAGTCAAAGTTTACACACACAGCTTTCATATTTGGCATAGTCACTTTATAAATCAAGGAACAGTCAAAGTTTACACACACAGCTTTCATATTTGGCATAGTCACTTTATAAATCAAGGAACACAATATGATCTAACTGTATGTGTTTACATGGCTCACATTCCTTAAAATACATAACATTGGATGCGACAAACATTGTCAGAGAATTAGGCCAAAGACAGAAAAATATATTTTGTAATTTTTCTGGCATATTTTAGTTGTCCGAATAATATGTCAGCCATTAATAGTATTTAGCTCAAGCATTCATGTTTATGAATGTCTGTTAGAACATACAGTGATTTCAACCGCCGTCATAGAGTAGCCCATAATTTCGCGACGATAAACCATCATATAAAATTTTAAAAAGTGAAATTTCAAAACCAAAGATTCTGGACGAAGGGTACTGTTGCCAATCTCTAAAGGTCCAGTCTACCTAATGACTAGAAACTGACAGAAACAAATACCTAGGCTCTCTCGGAAGACCAAGCGCACAATGACCTCTAGTGACCTCTCGCGCTTCTCGCGTGGTTACAAGTACTCGTAACAGCGAGACAGGACTAGTGACATCTGAGAAACAAATACCTACAAACCTAATGTTGGATAAGTTGTTTTACATTGTGCTTGAATAGTAGTTGTAATTACATTCTGCATGCGTTAGAACAAAAGTGTTCCTTGTCATTTGAGGATGCAGCCAAAGGTAAACAAACGTCCATGTCATAAGATAACATGTAGTCGTGGTGCATGAGGAAATTATTCATATTTGAACAATATCTGAATCGTAAGAGCATTTTTACGACGAAAAAAGGTCAGATATTAATGTAAGAAATATATATCATCTACTATCTTCATAAATTAAAAGACTCCGAAGCCTGACAGGCATGCCGGGAAGGGAATACGGTCTTGTACATCCAGTCTCCTTATCAAACAACAAAGAAATACGAATGATGCATCTTAGGACGGGGCACTTTTCTCATGATAAACAATCTCAGTTTGTGAATGCATCCAATCAAACACCGAGGGAGACCGGAAACGCCGTGTATATCATGTAAAGCTGCCAGCCTGACCACCTGGTAGGCCTGAATGGCCCAACTCATAGCATATACTAGCTATCTGAAAACAACGGTGGGTGCCTCTCCGCTACCCTCCAGGAGTCCGGAAGACATCCATGCATCATATATAGACACTGGCGATGCATGGGGACTTCTCCCTCACACTGCAATGTATACAACATAACCGACTTACACATCTGGCCATCACATATAGGTATGTTTGTTTTTGCATTTGTCAGGAGAGAATAGAAATCATAAGATCTATCACTAGGGGATTAGATAAGAAAACAAAACTGTTCTTTACAACCAAAGGTTTAAACTCAGAATGCGTCGTAATTGTAAATATATTTAAATATGCTGACTAACACGACCAGTCATGCACAATGACCATTTCAGTCAGGAAGTTACATACATGTAATTTGATGAAGACTGAGCATGATCTGGATAATAGTTGTTGTTTTAATTGTTTAAAATATCAGCAGATTTACACTGTGATCCTGGTTCATGTCTAAATAAAAGAGTTCGATCAGCGTCAACACACAAGCAAAAGACAAACAAAGATATTGTTACAGAACAGGTAACTCTTGTTGTGGGGTGGTACGCAATTTGGCAGGTAGATACATTAAAGTTTGTCTATTTAAGATGCGTCGGCGACCTTCTTTTAGATGCCTTCAAGGATTGCCTCCCTTGACCCTGCATCGGTTGATCCGAGCCTGCAATGAAGACCACAGTTCTCAATGCACACCAACGTCCACATTTTATATCCATCACGTCTTGGTAATCATTCTTCTCTATATGAATTTGGAACACAAATCATCGGTCAATGCTGTTGACGCAATGTAAGCAAACATTGACAAACAATCACTTACAATATTCTAAGGATGTTATGTTTTAACAAAGCATCTTTTTACAACTGTAGTATACATAGTTATATATTAATACTATTAGATGCTTCATATTTGTTCTGAACAAAGTAGTTGAGACCACAGTGTTCATTCGTGTGAGGAATAAACTGACACACATTCTGTGTAATGTACGATTTACGATTAACATACCACACAGGAATATCCTTGAACATTCCTGTGAGATGTAAGAATGATCCCAAATGCAGTTGCCTGGTATTCAAGTCTATCACATGCAAACGATATCAGACACAAGAGGATAAATCTGCTTATTTAAAAAATGTACTGAAAATGGCATGTTCATGTTGAATTGCGAGATTGTGAAATTATCATGAAAGAATCAATTACGTAGACAAAACATCTTTTCTTATCACGACTGGTGCAAGTAGCTATAATTAATGATATAGTATCCTCCTAAGTCTTCGGTCGTCGCTTTCTACCGAAACTAAACCCATTGATAAACATCTGGATTTATAATAAGAAGTAATATTAATATTTCAGTGACGCTACTCAAAACACCTTCCACTTCCAATATGTGTAGATTGTAAATGTTGCATGAATACGGGCTTCAATGTTACCAGTATGCATCCTCCCGTGTACATGGGTGTGAATTATATACTCAACAACAAAAGTTCCTGTGACACCAATATTTTAGTGTATTTTTCAAACAAGTAAAGTTTAGTTTTCAATATTGAAGTACATGTATGGAATCAAGTCGCAAAAACGCAACTGCTACAGAAAAGCATGCATTCTATGCAAAAGTTAACTTTTATGCAAGCCCCATGCATTTCACTACCCAAGAATGGGTATAAAAACATGTGCGTTAACGGGATTCCATATGCATTGTTTAGCATCGTGCTGACAACAATCACTCTGAAAAACAAAATTACGCAACTATTCAACATTACGAAATGTGACGCCTGTCCGAAAATGAGCATCTGCGAGCTATTGGTATGCTTGAAGCATGATCGAGTCAACGTGATGTTGCAAGACAATTTAACGTCCACAGAAACAAAATTTGGTGTTTATGGCAACGTTGGCAACAGACGAATGCAGTCAGAGACCATCCTCTGAGGAGCAGGCCACGCGTAACCAATAATCGATAAGACAACTGGATTCGAGCAACACACCTACAAAGTCGATTCAAGCCAACAACAGTGACTGCAAGAAGCATCCCTGGCCTTCGACGAATATCTTCACAAACCGTACGTCGTCGCCTCAGATGTTCAGGGATTGTCGCCAGAAGACCCGCCAGACGTCCCATTTTGACAGGAAACCACCGCAAAGCACATTTACAGTGGTGCAGACAGCGTCTACGCTGGACGGCCATGCAGTGACGAGACTCGTTTTCACCTCAGCCACAGCGATGTCGGATTCGAGTGTACCGACGTCGAGGTGAACGTTAAGTCAATCATTGTGTCATGGAAGAAGATAGGTTTGGGGTGCATAGGGTGGGATAACAGCAAGACAGAGGACCGTTTGATAGTGGTAGAGGGAAATCTCAATGGACAGCGCTACCGCGACGAGATCATCGGCCCTGTTATTCTACCGTTTTTGCGTCGTCATGGTCCAGGCATTATCTTTCAACATGACAACGCCCGGCCTCATATTGCTCAACTTCTTCAGGATTCTCTTCTACAAAACAACGTGAATGTCATCCCCTGGCCGGCTCGCTCCCCTGATCTCTCACCAATCGAGCACATTCGGGATGAGATGGATCGGCGCCTTCGACGTCTACCACGTGTTCAACAGACACTCCAGGAACTTCGTAATATGCTCCAGCAAATATGGACAGATATCCCACAGGACTTTGTGCGACGCCTGGTCCTTTCCATGAGACGAAGATGTGTTGCTTGCATCGCAACCAGAGGTGGACACACACGTTATTGATTTGTAAATTGACATTTTGGCATGTTCATGTTTTTTTTTTAATGAAATCACGCATTTTCTGAAGTCAGTATGGCAAATTAAACCATTTGAACACTTACAGGAGTCTTTTATCTGTTGCAAACCGAAATTGTTTCAGATTTGGTAAAAAGCATAACGTTGCATTAAATCTTATTCAATGTCACAGGAACTTTTGTTGTTCAGTATATGTTTCCTTGAAATACTCATGGTAATTCCAACAAAGATTAAATAGCTCACCTGATCCAATATCACGTAGAAATTGTCTAGTTATTGACAACTCGGAGCCTGTAAAAAGAATCAAGACAGTTATACAAAATATCTTAATACTTTGTAATCTGCTCTATTGCTGTTGTTGTTAGCTTTTGTATAAGTTAATACATATTTCTACATGTGAACTTGACAAAACACAAGTTATAGGTGTGGATTTCTCGTCAAGACCCACGATCGCTGGCGCTATCTCATTTGCTATATTCCTTGCGCTCTTTGAAAACATGTTTACTGAATTACATTGAGTTATTGAGGTGGATTTTAATGTGAAATTTATTAACGCACCTGATCCCCCCAAACCGCATGTTCCACAGCACAGATCTAGATTGAGTGGACAGTCTGCCTGGGGGTCGAGATCCGTAGTACACCAGGTGCTCTTGTCTCCATACTCACACCCTAAACATACAGTCTAACATTAGGTCGTTCAACGTAGGATTAAAACCTAAACCTAAATAGATGATTTTGTGTTTTACGATTGTCGAAGTATTGATAAAGATAGTCACAAAGCTACACGGAAGAGAAAAAATACACACTTAACTCATTAGTAGTTTGTGTGAGCTTTACCTGTTGGGTCAGCACCGGATAATACTTCTTTTTAGTTTGAGTTAGTTTCTCTATAATTGTAAAATATTCCCATTGGAAGTCAGACCAATCGTTGTTGGATAAACGGTAAGACAACAGATCCCTGGAATCAGCATTAATCGTTAACTATGAAGTTATTGTGAGGTAAATGTAGGATGGACATTTCGTGATACTTATAGGAGAATCGTATCAATGACATCTTGACATGAAATCTAGCAATGCACTGCAACAGACACACATTTACTATTAGCTGTTGTGATTCAATAATCAATTTAAGTCAGCAACCGTCCAACCTTATTGTTTGCGTGACTGTACCAATGTCACCTTGGACACTGCTGCGACATGTTCCTTCAACATGTTCAATATATACTGAACCACAAAGAAACGTCGCCATTGATAGATATATGAGAAACCTTATTTCAGTGTTAAAGTGTCAAATGTTCTTAAAGTGAAACACAATACCAGTCCCTGAGAAAATGGCATCACAAGTCAGTATCTCGAGTGTCCGCCATGTGCATTGATGACTGCCGTGCAACGTCGATACATGGAATGGATGAGGCGGTTGATGAAGGCTAAAGGCACTTGAGTCCACATTCTGAGGAACGCCTGACGCAGTTCAGCTGCAGTTGTCGGCCTTGGTTGGACGTCATTCAGCCGTCTTTGAATCTCGTCCCACAGGTGCTCAATGGGATTTAAATCGGGACTGAGGGCAGGCCACTGCATGGTTCTGATGCCTTTCTGCTGGAGGAAGTCTCTTGTTGCTCTCGCAGTGTGGGCACGGGCGTTATCATGCTGAAACTTTTGCGGCGACGTACCAAATGAGGTATGGCGAGTGGTCTCAATACTTGATCAATGTACCGAGCTGCTGTGACACCATTGCCACTCCCTGGAACGATGTTCTGGAAGACCACAGGGCGGACCCTCTGTGCAAGACCAATTCCACCCCACACCCTGATTCTCGGTCCACCCCACGAGTCTCTCTCAACAACGCAAGCATCCGAATAACGTTCTCCACGGCGTCGCCAGACTCTCTGCCATCTGCTGTTGAGATACAGTAACGGCTCTCGTCTGAGAAGAGGACTCTTCTACTCTGCTGGTGGCGTCAATGCTGGTGCTGTGTTGCCCACTGAAGACGGTCCCGGCGATGACGTGGTGTCAGAATGGGTCCTCAGTATGGCCTGTGACAATCGTCGACGCACGGTGTCCGCACTAATGTGTCGCTGGTGTGTCCCAATGGTCTGTCGAGCAGTTTCTGCAGCACTAACAAAGCGATCTTGAAGATTCTGTCGCACAATCTGACGATCCTGACCTCGGGTGGTGACCCTTGGATTTCCACTACGTGGTCGGTCATCTGTAGTGTTGGTGGTCATCTGTAGTGTTGGTGGTCATCTGTAGTGTTGGTGGTCTGGCGGTCTGGTGATGCACGGAACTCACGTGCATCGGGTTACCATAGCCGTTGCCGGATGCGTTTGGGCGATCGGTTCTATTGTCATCTGCTTTGTTTTTTATCATAAAATTTCATTTTTCCGGACAAGGTAATGTTGAAAAACTTTGACAAAATTACCCTGTTATTTAAATGACAACTTTTCATGCAATGTTATTTGGGGTGACGTTTCTTTTGCGGTTCAGTATATCTAAAGTTGGGTTTTGAAAATAGTAGAAGTTCTTCTTAATCAAAGTGTAATATGAATAACATGGTGAGGCGTGGTGCGATAATGTGGTGACACTCGTGGTGTGACAATGTGGTGCGATAATGTGGTTACACTGGTGGTGTGACAATGTGGTGCGATAATGTGGTGACACTCGTGGTGTGACAATGTGGTGCGATAATGTGATGACACTCGTGGTGTGACAACGTGGTGCGACAATGTGACGACACTCGTTGTGTGACATATGGTGCGATAATGTGGTGACACTCCTGGTGTGACGTGGTGCGATAATGTGGTGACACTCGTGGTGTGACAATGTGGTGCGATAATGTGGTGACACTCATGGTGTGTCAATGTGGTGCGATAATGTGGTGACACTCGTGGTGTGACAATGTGGTGCGATAATGTGATGACTATCGTGGCGTGACAACGTGGTGCGATAATGTGACGACACTCGTGGTGCGATAATGTGGTGACACTCGTGGTGTGACAATGTGGTGCGATAATGTTGTGACACTCATGGTGTGACAACGTTGTGCGATAATGTGGTGACACTCATGGTGTGACAATGGGATGCAATAATGTGGTGACACTCATAGAGTGACCACGTGATGTGAGTATGTGATGACACTCATGGTGTGACAATGTGGTGCGATAATGTGGTGACACTGACAACGTGGTGCAATAATGAGGTGACACTCGTGGTGTGACAATATGGTGCGATAATGTGGTGACACTGATGGTGTGACAATGTGGTGCGATAATGTGGTGACACTCGTGGTGTGACAATGTGGTACGATAAGGTGGTGACACTCATGGTGTGACAATGTGGTGCGATAATGTGGTGACACTCATGGTGTGACAATGTGGTGCGATAATGTGATGGCTATCGTGGTGTGACAACGTGGTGCGATAATGTGGTGACACTCGTGGTGTGACAATGTGGTGCGATAATGTGGTGACACTCATGGTGTGACAACGTTGTGCGAAAATGTGACGACACTCGTGGTGTGACAATGTGGTGCGATAATGTGGTGACACTGACAACGTGGTGCAATAATGAGGTGACACTCGTGGTGTGACAATATGGTGCGATAATGTGGTGACACTGATGGTGTGACAATGTGGTGCGATAATGTGGTGACACTCGTGGTGTGACAATGTGGTGCGATAAGGTGGTGACACTCATGGTGTGACAATGTGGTGCGATAATGTGGTGACACTCGTGGTGTGACAATGTGGTGTGATAAGGTGGTGACACTCATGGTGTGACAATGTGGTGCGATAATGTGATGGCTATCGTGGTGTGACAACGTGGTGCGATAATGTGGTGACACTCGTGGTGTGACAATGTGGTGCGATAATGTGGTGACACTCATGGTGTGACAACGTTGTGCGAAAATGTGACGACACTCGTGGTGCGATAATGTGGTGACACTCGTGGTGTGACAATGTGGTGCGATAATGTTGTGACACTCATGGTGTGACAACGTTGTGCGATAATGTGGTGACACTCATGGTGTGACAACGGGATGCAATAATGTGGTGACACTCATAGAGTGACCACGTGATGTGGGTATGTGACGACACTCATGGTGTGACAATGTGGTGCGATAATGTGGTGACACTGACAACGTGGTGCGATAATGAGGTGACACTCATGGTGTGACAATATGGTGTGATAATGTGGTGACACTGATGGTGTGACAATGTGGTGCGATAATGTGGTGACACTCGTGGTGTGACAATGTGGTGCGATAAGGTGGTGACACTCATGGTGTGACAATGTGGTGCGATAATGTGGTGACACTCGTGGTGTGACAATGTGTCGCGATAAGGTGGTGACACTCATGGTGTGACAATGTGGTGCGATAATGTGATGACTATCGTGGTGTGACAAAGTGGTGCGATAATGTGGTGACACTCGTGGTGTGACAACGTGGTGCGATAATGTGGTGACACTCGTGGTGTGACAATGTGGTGCGATAATGTGGTGACACTCATGGTGTGACAAAGTTGTGCGCAAAATGTGGTGACACTCATGGTGTGACAACGTGGTACGATAATGTGGTAACACTCATGGTGTGACAACGTGGTGCGATAATGTGGTGACACTCGCGGTGTGATAATGTGGTGCGATAATGCGGTGACACTCATGGTGTGACAACGTGGTGCGATAATGTGGTGACACTCATGGTGTGACAACGTGGTGCGATAATGTGGTGACACTCGTGGTGTGATAATGTGGTGCGATAATGTGGTGACACTCATGGTGTGACAACCTGGTGCGATAATGTGGTGACACTCATGGTGTGACAACGTGGTGCGATAATGTGGTGACACTCATGGTGTGACAATGTAGTGTGATAGTGTGGCGAGACACGTGGGGTGTTAATGTGGTGAGACAAGTGGTGTGACAATGTGGAGCGATAATGTGGTGACATTCATGGTGTGACAACGTGGTGCGATAATGTAGTAACACTCATGGTGTGACAACGTGGCGCGATAATGTGGTGACACTCATGGTGTGACAACGTGGTGCGATAATGTGGTGACACTCTTGGTGTGACAACGTGGTGCAATAATGTGGTAACACTCATGGTGTGACAACGTGGTGCGATAATGTGGTAACACTCATGGAGTGACAACGTGGTGCGATAATGTGGTGACAGTCGTGGTGTGACAATGTGGTGCGATAATGTGGTGACACTCATGGTGTGACAATGTGGTGCGATAATGTGGTGACACTCGTGGTGTGACAATGTGTCGCGATAAGGTGGTGACACTCATGGTGTGACAATGTGGTGCGATAATGTGATGACTATCGTGGTGTGACAAAGTGGTGCGATAATGTGGTGACACTCGTGGTGTGACAACGTGGTGCGATAATGTGGTGACACTCGTGGTGTGACAATGTGGTGCGATAATGTGGTGACACTCATGGTGTGACAAAGTTGTGCGCAAAATGTGGTGACACTCATGGTGTGACAACGTGGTACGATAATGTGGTAACACTCATGGTGTGACAACGTGGTGCGATAATGTGGTGACACTCGCGGTGTGATAATGTGGTGCGATAATGCGGTGACACTCATGGTGTGACAACGTGGTGCGATAATGTGGTAACACTCATGGTGTGACAACGTGGTGCGATAATGTGGTGACACTCGTGGTGTGATAATGTGGTGCAATAATGTGGTGACACTCATGGTGTGACAACCTGGTGCGATAATGTGGTGACACTCATGGTGTGACAACGTGGTGCGATAATGTGGTGACACTCATGGTGTGACAATGTAGTGTGATAGTGTGGCGAGACACGTGGGGTGTTAATGTGGTGAGACAAGTGGTGTGACAATGTGGAGCGATAATGTGGTGACATTCATGGTGTGACAACGTGGTGCGATAATGTAGTAACACTCATGGTGTGACAACGTGGCGCGATAATGTGGTGACACTCATGGTGTGACAACGGGGTGCGATAATGTGGTGACACTCTTGGTGTGACAACGTGGTGCAATAATGTGGTAACACTCATGGTGTGACAACGTGGTACGATATTATGGTAACACTCATGGTGTGACAACGTGGTGCGATAATGTGGTAACACTCATGGAGTGACAACGTGGTGCGATAATGTGGTGACAGTCGTGGTGTGACAATGTGGTGCGATAATGTGGTGACAGTCGTGGTGTGACAACGTGGTGCGATAATGTGGTAACACTCATGGAGTGACAACGTGGTGCGATAATGTGGTGACAGTCGTGGTGTGACAATGTGGTGCGATAATGTGGTGACAGTCGTGGTGTGACAATGTGGTGCGATAATGTGGTGACAGTCGTGGTGTGACAATGTAGTGTGATAGTGTGGCGAGACACTTGGGGTGTTAATGTGGTGAGACGCGTGATGTGACAATGTAGTGTGACAATGTGGTTTGACGTGGTGTGATAATGTGGTGAGACACGTGGTGTGATAATGTGGCGAGACACGTGGTGTGACAATGTTATGAGACACGTGGTATTACAATGGAGTGAGATACGTGGTGTGACAATGTAACGCGATACGTGGTGTGACAATGTAGTTATACACGTTGTATGACAATGTTGTAAATCGCTGTGAAGTGCGGTATACAGCACCACACACAGGATGAGCACGTTGACCGCCTGAACTAACAAGTTGCACAATCATCAATCAGGGCGTATGAAACGTAACGCCTAGACAGGTAGGTACATTTATCCTAGACACGTGATGTGGACCTGTATCATAGTTGTAGCGTTTCTTTGTGTTTTCATTCATTTCTTAATAAAAACACCAAACATTCTTAGATTGCTAAAAGATGTTCCAAATAATAGTACATGACGAAAATGACCACATTTTTCGTCTACATTGTTAACATGTATGTATTTACTGTGTGTAACTAGAAACTTCACTAACCATTGTGCTGTTTAAAAAAAAGTTCACGTCACTTTGGGTGACATTTCCTCCAGTCGGAGATGACAATATATGTGCATGACAGTGCGGCACACACGCCGCCGGGGCACGATGACACACAAGCACTCGGTCCACTTGGCCCTCATTAGTCTGTCACATAAATTGGGAACAGAGGAGCTACACCGGACTTACCAAAGGGGCTGGCTGGGACGTCCGGCATGTTCTTTTGATCGGCTATTAAACATTGGCTTTGCAGGAGAATATTTCATATCGTACCTCTAACGGTCAGTGTAAATGCTACAACCTTGATTTGCTGCATACATCAATGTCTTACCAGGCTGACTGCTGTCCTTCATGTCTCCGCAAGTCCCGCAGCAAATGTTATCGTTGTTGTAGCAACCGACGGGATAAGCCAATGATAGACAGTCTTTGTGCTTGTCACCATATTCACAACCTACAGGTAAACATAGGTATTTCATTATATATATACTAACCTTCGGGATTACATATTATCTGTCGCGAGTGAACTAATTTTGTACGTCAAGAGCCTTGTAGAGAAAAAGGTGTTTCCCGATCTCAAGTAGAGGCATTTATGTTATATTTCAGTGTGAAAGACTGAGTTTTCTGAAGTTGAGAAAAGTGATATTTTCATTGCAGTGAACATAACACTTGATATTTCACTGCAGTGAACCTAACACCTGATATTTCACTGCAGTGAACATAACACGTTGACGGAACTATGTTGGCCTACACGAGACAGCTCGTACACAAACTGTTGATTTACGTCAGTTCAACGTTGACAAGTCATATAATGACAGATGGTCATTTATGTAGTTAATACCGATTCTTACCGTTTGTTATTTTGTTGAAAATGATTTGTATTAAACTGTGAATTTCTCTTCTGATTTGTCAGTCGATACTTTACGTTTCGCAAAGCGCCATTTTGTTACTTGAATTGCGTGTATTCTTTCGCTTCGAACAACCGTCTCATTGATTTGAAATTTATTTTTTGATGAAGTTGATTTTGTATATAATCATATCCAAATTTATACTAAAGAATTTTAGTGACATCAAATATTTTTGGTCACTTTTGTTTATATTTTTTAAGATTTAGCAAAGACGGAACTACATTTTTAGTCGTACTTACAGGGGTGGAAAACCGTCCATGTGTGTTATGTAGGGAGAATTTACGCTTGAAGGTTTTACATTTGTAATGAAATAATTTAATCTTCCTGCAGACAACTACACCAAAAGTATATAATACATAGGATATTTCATGTGTCGAGTGAAATATCATGTTTCTCTCAACTCGTGACGGGGGGAAAGGAGATATTTTCTTTGAAAATATCTCCTTCCCCCCGTCACTCGGTGAGAGAAACATGATATTCCACTTGACACATGAAATATCCTCTATTAATTCAAGTCAATATAGTGATGGAATGACGACACATTAAATACTGCGTGACGTCCTGAATAATGAATGACGTCATTTGTAAGCATATGCGACCATGCATAGACATGACGTCACTATATGTCACTTCGCAAACAATGAAAGCAACAGAACAATCGGCATGAACTGGTAAATCATTATGAAGCCAAACTGTAATGAGAATTGTTGAAAATATGTTTACCTATATTCGCAGACCTATCGGTAATATAATAAAGTTTACCAAAATGACAAAATATTTCAGGAATGTGCTACCCGTGAAGATCCGGGTTTGAATAGGTTTTCAGCAACCCATGCTTGCCGTAAGAGGCGACAGTGCATAACTTTAAGAGGCGAATAACGGGATCGGGTTGCCAGGCTCGCTGACTTGGTTGATGCATGTCATCGTATCCCATTTGCGTGGATCGATGCTCATGATGTCAATCACTGAATTGTCTGTTCCAGACTCGATTATTTACAGACCGCCATCATACAGCTGGAATACTGTTGAGTGCGGCGTTATACAACAAAACAAACAATCACTGGATTGTAAAAAAAGTCTGTTAAGAACTACCTCGGTAGGTCAGTCACAATGACAGCACGTCGTTATACATTTACATCAAATACATGACGTCAAAATGGCCGACACGATGAACGTGACGGGGGAGATTTCCGAAGTTGTTAATGAATCTGTGGCGGTTACATGTGTTGGTCATCACTGATCAATTGGCCGACCATTGACAAGTGGTTTTAAAGATGTGTCAAATAGATACTAAGGTAAATTCAAAGATTGCTGAAGACTGTCAGTCTGGACACGGATCGAGTCGATACCACGATAGTGGATGTGCATTTCTACTATTTGTTCACTTGGATGGGTCGTAGCGAGGATATTCGTGAACTCTTTGGTGTTTCTCAATATGTGCTGAAACACTGAGTTTATGATTAAAGGGTCTAAATGATCCGAAACAACGCTTCTGTATGTATTCGTGCAAGGGAAATCACAGGGGTTTCCCCAGGAATGTGGCTGTAGTCCGACAGTGTTTTCGTAATTTCATGAACACGGTATCGTGAAAACGTATAAACGTCAAATTGTGTCGTTCATACGCTTATGCACGTCAGTTTCGCGGTCATGTGACCGACCTCTCTTCCAATGGAAAAGACGTATATCTTGTAAACTTCAAATTAAAAAACATTTAAAATTAGTCCTGACCCATGTGTTGTGAATTTGGAAATATACATTACGAATTTTCGGATTTGAATGTATTATAGAGTACTCGTTACCCGTAAATGTCATTTTAAACCGACAAGGTATAATGTTGTGATGTGACATTATATATTTTCAGAGACTAAGCGCTAGTCTATCATTTCTGATGTGGAGGACTTTTACACCATCAGGAGGAACCCTTTTACACCCGTGGGATCCAGGCTCTCCAGCAGAAGTTACCAACTCCATCAGCGCAGTCTTTGTTAGGCGTTTCAGCACCCTTCGTATGGTATCCAACGGAGTGCTACTGACCTATCCGTGTCTGGTTCAAGAAGCTGTGGCAGGTTTTGCAGCAGAAGTCGCTGTTGAGGTAGCAGCCGAAGGGCGTGGCCAGGTCAGTCTCACACCACTTGCTTCTGTCGCCGAACTCACAGCCTAGGATGGAAGACTCAGCTTATATAACTAAACACAGTATCACCGATACCTACTGTCAGTGTAGATGATGGTTATAACACCGCCAGGTCTGAAGATAGCTTCATCACGAGAATTACACAACCTGCTTATAAATATGTGATTATCATCCCTGCTTGCATTACTGACTTCAGTCGTATCCGCTGTACACGAAAATTCAAGAGAGTGAGTACGTTTTGTTTTAAGCCGGTTTTAGCAACATCGCAACAATATCAAGGCGAAGAATACCATACATTGGCTTCACACATTGTATCCATGTAGGAATTGGACCCGTGCTTCCGGTGTGACGAGCGAATGGTTCAACCACCAGGCTACACTATGCCACAATGGCGTTGAGAAGATGATTAATAGTGGTAGTAGTACCATTCATTCATTCAGTCATCCATTCATTAATTCACTCCCTGGCTCCTGTACCTATGTTAGCAGGGTTGTAGTATTTGGGACAAGTGTCACAACACAGGTCACTGTTCTTGTAGCAGTCGTACGGAGGCTGAAGTGACGTCACACACCACGTACTGCGGTCTCCGTACTCGCATCCTGAAAAATGATTGTGTGATGAAACATTTAGGTTACCTTAAGTACGTTTGTAGTAATATTTCAGTGTTCATCATACGTTATCGTATGTTTATCTGATGTTAGTGTTTTAAGGATATGTCTATTGCACCGACTTACCTACTCGTGTACCGTTGAAGTGTTCGGCGCATGTGCCACAACATAGGTCCTCGTTCTGGTAGCATTCAAAAGGAGGCTTCAGCGTATTCTGACACCAAAGACTCCTGTCGCCATATGGGCAGCCTGAAAGGTGGATCTGTATGATGAATCACGCACTTACTTCATATTATATATCGCAAGATAAAGACAACAACAATAATAACATTAGTTAGCAGGAGTTTATGCTTTTTTGAGCATTATTTGAACTTTATCATTGCGAGGGACACCAAATGACACCCAATACTCACTTGGTCGTGTGTGGTCCTTGTAAATCTTGCAGGTGCCGCAGCAGAGGTTCTCGTTCTTGTAGCAGCCCATGGGGGTATTGAGGTCAGTACGACACCACGAGCTCTTGTCGCCGAACTCGCACCCTGCAGTAGCACAACACGATACAACCCTACCGATGTATGCCGTCAATACCCTTAAACATTATATACCCGGACCTGTAGCATCCACAGATCAACAACATGCAAGTATTATACGTATCATCTAGAAGGAATGAATGTTGTTTTACACCACAGTCAGCACTATTCAGCTATTTCAAGCTTTTCTCTCTCTGTCCCTATATATAAAGGGAGAGAGAGAAGCTGGAAAATGATCTACCACCTGAGCTGATGGTCAGTATGTAGGGTATATTGTTTGTCCGACTTAATTCATAAGTATTTCAGAGTGGAATACCTGGTATGCCTTTGTTTATTTCTGTGCAGGAGAGGCAGCACCGAGATCTCGTGTTATCATCATAACACATTTCTGGTTCAAAAAACACCAACTGTCCACACGTGTAGTTTTTCCAGACAATGCCGGGCTGGTCACCCTGAGGGCAGTAGTCTGGCAACAGAACAGTACCAGATGAGTAAATATGTTTAGAAAGGTCACACCGATTTACTACAACTTTAATTCAGACCAGTATTATGAGAACTATTAAACTAAACAGCGTCTAAATGCAATATGGAAGGAGATAGTTGTACCTACCCAGGGAATCCACACCCTTGATGCTGAGGACACATTTCCCCTTGTCACATACCTACAACGAACCAATGTTTCTGGTCAAATAAACACTATAATAACAATTATCACCTTCGTGGCTTTGTTTGTTTCAGTAACCTAATCTGTTGTAGATGTTGAGACTCTTGCTCCAAATGGTTACAAACACAAAGTTGGGATCTGGTGGCTGGGGCCAATCTATACAGGGCCGTCCCTGGGGCCAGTCTATACAGGGCCGTCCCTGGGGCCAGTCTATGCAGGGCCGTCCTTGGGGCCAGTCTATGCAGGGCCGTTCCTTGCGCCAATCTATACAGGGCCGTCCCTGGGGCCAGTCTATACAGGGCCGTCCCTGGAGCCAGTCTATACAGGGCCGTCCTTGGGGCCAGTCTATACAGGGCCGTCCCTGGGGCCAGTCTATACAGGGCCGTCCCTGGGGCCAGTCTATACAGGGCCGTCCCTGGGGCCAGTCTATACAGGGCCGTCCCTGGGGCCAGTCTATACAGGGCCGTCCCTGGGGCCAGTCTATACAGGGCCGTCCTTGGGGGCAGTCTATGCAGGGCCGTCCTTGGGGCCAGTCTATGCAGGGCCGTTCCTTGCGCCAATCTATACAGGGCCGTCCCTGGGGCCAGTCTATACAGGGCCGTCCCTGGGGCCAGTCTATACAGGGCCGTCCCTGGGGCCAGTCTATACAGGGCCGTCCTTGGGGCCAGTCTATACAGGGCCGTCCCTGGGGCCAGTCTATACAGGGCCATCCTTGGTGGCAGTCTATACAGGGCCGTCCTTGGGGCCAGTCTATACAGGGCCATCCTTGGTGGCAGTCTATACAGGGCCGTCCCTGGGGCCAGTCTATACAGGGCCGTCCCTGGGGCCAGTCTATACAGGGCCATCCATGGTGGCAGTCTATACAGGGCCGTCCTTGGTGGCAGTCTATACAGGGCCGTCCCTGGGGCCAGTCTATACAGGGCCGTCCCTGGGGCCAATCTTCACAGGGCCGTCCCTGGGGCCAGTCTATACAGGGCCGTCCCTGGGGCCAGTCTATGCAGGGCCGTTCCTTGGGCCAGTCTATACAGGGCCGTCCCTGGGGCCAGTCTATACAGGGCCGTCCCTGGGGCCAGTCTATACAGGGCCGTCCTTAGGGGCAGTCTATGCAGGGCCGTCCTTGGGGCCAATCTATACAGGGCCGTCTTTGGGGCCAGTCTATACAGGGCCGTTCCCGGGGCCAGTCTATGCAGGGCCGTCCTTTGGGCCAGTCTATACAGGGCCGTCCTTGGGGCCAGTCTATGCAGGGCCGTCCTTGGGGCCAGTCTATGCAGGGCCGTCCTTGGGGCCAGTCTATACAGGGCCGTCCTTGGTGGCAGTCTATACAGGGCCGTCCCTGGGGCCAGTCTATACAGGGCCGTCCCTGGAGCCAGTCTATACAGGGCCGTCCTTGGGGCCAGTCTATACAGGGCCGTCCCTGGGGCCAGTCTATACAGGGCCGTCCCTGGGGCCAGTCTATACAGGGCCGTCCCTGGGGCCAGTCTATACAGGGCCGTCCCTGGGGCCAGTCTATACAGGGCCGTCCCTGGGGCCAGTCTATACAGGGCCGTCCCTGGGGCCAGTCTATACAGGGCCGTCCTTGGGGGCAGTCTATGCAGGGCCGTCCTTGGGGCCAGTCTATGCAGGGCCGTTCCTTGCGCCAATCTATACAGGGCCGTCCCTGGGGCCAGTCTATACAGGGCCGTCCCTGGGGCCAGTCTATACAGGGCCGTCCTTGGGGCCAGTCTATACAGGGCCGTCCCTGGGGCCAGTCTATACAGGGCCATCCTTGGTGGCAGTCTATACAGGGCCGTCCTTGGGGCCAGTCTATACAGGGCCATCCTTGGTGGCAGTCTATACAGGGCCGTCCCTGGGGCCAGTCTATACAGGGCCGTCCCTGGGGCCAGTCTATACAGGGCCATCCATGGTGGCAGTCTATACAGGGCCGTCCTTGGTGGCAGTCTATACAGGGCCGTCCCTGGGGCCAGTCTATACAGGGCCGTCCCTGGGGCCAATCTTCACAGGGCCGTCCCTGGGGCCAGTCTATACAGGGCCGTCCCTGGGGCCAGTCTATGCAGGGCCGTCCCTGGGGCCAGTCTATACAGGGCCGTCCCTGGGGCCAGTCTTTACAGGGCCGTCCCTGGGGCCAGTCTATACAGGGCCGTCCTTAGGGGCAGTCTATGCAGGGCCGTCCTTGGGGCCAATCTATACAGGGCCGTCTTTGGGGCCAGTCTATACAGGGCCGTTCCCGGGGCCAGTCTATGCAGGGCCGTCCTTGGGGCCAGTCTATACAGGGCCGTCCTTGGGGCCAGTCTATGCAGGGCCGTCCTTGGGGCCAGTCTATGCAGGGCCGTCCTTGGGGCCAGTCTATACAGGGCCGTCCTTGGTGGCAGTCTATACAGGGCCGTCCCTGGGGCCAGTCTATACAGGGCCGTCCCTGGGGCCAATCTACACAGGGCCGTCCCTTGGGCCAATCTATACAGGGCCGTCCTTGGGGCCAATCTATAGAGGGCCGTCCCTGGGGCCGCAAATCTATACAGGGCCAGTCAGGATCCTATGGTCGTGAGATCAAATCCTCGATTCGCCCTATTATGATCCCTGTCCTCCCACATTATGCTGACACGCCGTGATGCAACTGAAATAGTGTTCAAGGCGCACTCACTACTACGGGGTGGGTGCGGGGTTTATCGGGTGGACATGATAGTGGAGGAATATAAATCTAATAAAAAGCTGTGAACTGGCTCCTATTCCGATGGTGTGGGTCAGCACTCAAACCATCGACCAGTGTTTTGCGTTGTGGATATCTCGTGTTTATAGCTGTAGCGGAAACCCCGTTCTCTTACTGACCAGGATTTCCTGTGTGACCTGCAGGCGGGATAACTTGCCTTCTTATCACCACAGGCGTATCCGTCAGACCCCTCATAGTTGTTGCATATGTTGTGCACTGAGTTGCTCACGTGACACCATATGTTGGTACATATGTGGCTATAGTCTTCAGGCTTGGAGTAGAAATCCTGGAGGACAGAATAAAAACATTGTTAATTGAGTGACGCTAAGTGTGGGTGCGTGATATATAGAGTTTGTCACGCGAGTGAGTTTTGGGCTGGTTTACACCCTGTATTACGAATAAACTTTGTATTCAGCGAGTCTGGCGAGCTAATAATTGTAATAACTTATTTGTTAACGTTCAGTGCACACTGATTCCATCCTATGGTTAGGGAGTAACCCATTTCGAAGAAAGGGTCGTTACCCGACTAGCCAGCTCACGGCAACTACTGCTCCATTAGATTGCTTCCTGCAACTCTTATCTTTGCAATGCAAGTATATATAGTCACTGTCCATTGGTTTAAAGTCAGAAATTTCTCACGCGCCATTCGAGTTACAAACAATAAACAAAGTACAGCAAGTGCATACATGTCATGGCTCTGTTTAAACTAAAGTACACATTTAAGAATATAGAAAAGGTATCGAAAAGCACGTGCAAAATCTTTTGAATGACATGACGCCTTTGATATTATTTGATACATTTAATAACACAATCAGAATCAGATACAGTGTATTGACATCTTTGTTGTTTTGAATTCAAACAAACGCTGAATCAAAACGCATACAACAGTATCAGCACTTTTCTAAAACCTTGTGTACTGGCATCGGTCGATGTTACATGTTATTTGTCTGTCTGTTGTCTACAATATCCTGACAGTGACGTGCGAGTGTCTCCTACCCTGCAGAAGTAGGATCCCTTGCCCTCAATGAGCTGGCACTGCTGGTCCGGGGTGTACAGCTCACCCATGTGGATGCTGGTGGTGGGACCCTCGTTCTTCTCCACCTCGTGCTTGTTCTGGAGGAGGCACAGATTCCTATCTCTAGATGACCAACACAATATCGCGTTATTGAAATTAACGTGGCATTAACAAAATGTATCTATGTTACAAAAAAAGTCACTCGGTACCATATGATTGTCATAACAGTCATGCTTTCAACGACTGTGTTCCCTGGTCCAGACATGTCTATATATTTGATGGGACTCAACCCCAAAACGTACTAGAATATGTACTTTACTAAGAAAGTGTTATCCCAAATACAACCTCTGTTACATTTGACCACTTTCTAAATGGCATTGTCAATGCATGTCTATTCACAGACAGCCGTGGAAAACCTAACACATTGCTGATTGTGCCGCTAAAGAAATTCTTTCACTCTGAAAAAGGGCAGTTCCAATAGCGTTTTAAGACCAAGGAAATGGCTTCAGTGACGTCTGTTTTACCGACCTCAGGCGTACTTGCCTCACACCTCATCTCGTGGATTGCTCCTCAGACATAATTAATTTTGTTCTTCCACGTTCCAGAAAATAGAAAAATGTGTCAAATTATAAAATGCCGCACATTAGTACAGTAATTATGATTACGCCTCCGGCTGTGTATTAAGAGGCTGGCCAGACCTAGCGGTACCACTCCAAGTATGAAGTGAGAAGATGTTTGTAGATGCATGTAGAGCATAGGCTCTGACACAAACCATCCAATTTTCAATTCATGCAGATTGCCGTGGTATTAATAGGGAGAAGTCCTGCAAACATCCCTGAACCTCCATACACACCTTCTGAGCTGAGACAACAGCGTTCCTATATAGTCCAAACTACATGGAGACAGGTACCATCTGTGTGTGGAGTTGATCTCTATCACAGACGCCATCAGGAAGCCGTCACTAGCACTGCAGGCGTTCTCTTCTCCGTCGTGTTTGGCGCCGAGACTTAATAAGAATGGGAAAGCTTCATACATACCAAACATGGTGCATAAAAAATAACAGTAGGTAAGGCTTACCTTACACAATACACAACTTCCGAGAGGTTTTTAAATATATCTAACGCAATACATAGCTTGAGACAGGTTGTCAGACATATCTGACACAGTTAATAACTTCAGACAAGTTGTTAGGTATATCAGACGTAATACATACGTTCAGATAGGTTGTTAGGTATACCTGACACATTACACTGCTTGAGACAAGTTGTTAGGTATATCAGACGTAATACATACGTTCAGATAGGTTGTTAGGTATACCTGACACATTGCACAGCTTGAGACAGGTTGTTAGGTATATCAGACGTAATACATACGTTCAGATAGGTTGTTAGGTATACCTGACACATTGCACAGCTTGAGACAAGTTGTTAGGTATATCAGACGTAATACATACGTTCAGATAGGTTGTTAGGTATACCTGACACATTACACTGCTTGAGACAGGTTGTTAGGTATATCAGACGTAATACATACGTTCAGATAGGTTGTTAGGTATACCTGACACATTACACTGCTTGAAACAGGTTGCTAGGTATATCTGTCGTAATACATACGTTCAGATAGGTTGTTAGGTATACCTGACACATTGCACAGCTGAGACAATCTGTTAGGTATATCTGACGTAATACATACCTTCAGACAGGTGTGTTATGTACATCAAACATCAACGACATAAATTCGGCCGTGGGTGTTATATACATATCTAACGGAACAACATAACTTCAGAGTGAGTGAGTGTAGTTTTACGCCGCTTTAGCAATATTCCAACAATATCACTGCGGGGACACCAGAAATGGGCTTCACGCATTGTACCCAAGTCGCTTTAACCACTAGGCTACCCGGCCGGCCCCCACAACTTCAGACAGGCGTGTTATGTATATCGAACAGAACAACATAACTACAGACGGGCGTGTTATGTATATCGCACATACTTCCCCTCGAATTGAACCACTTTGATTACTTTGACAGCCACGTAGATTTGAAAGTTTTAAATATGACGAAGTGTCAAGTTTAGTAAACGCATTGTTTCCCAGTAGCCACGATCATAAGTACAGATATCTCTTACATTTCGAAATGATACCCTAATTTTGCACAATACCAAAGGCAGGCTACGGCTTCTTTTTCTTTTCATTTTTCTTTTTTATTCCATTCACAAAGGTACCTGTGTCCGAGTTCATGTGCCGTTATCTGTACAATCTCAAAGCTGAAGTCGTTTTCCACCACTGAGACGCTCCTGGTCGTGCACATCGTCCCCAGATAGGCTCGACCTACAGACAGTGTGCAGGGGTCATGGCAATAATCAGGCTAACTCAGATACATAACTCACACCATGACAGTTTCAGGAATATAAATGTCAATACCTTACAGGTAATCAAATTTTACACCGGCATTAGGAAGAACCTTTAGACGACATACCAAATTACTAGAAGTCTCATCAAAGCTAAACCTTCAGGCAACAACACAAGAGAGAAGGAATCTCACCTGACTTAGATTTATCGCCGTTCTCCATGAGGTCATAACTGTTCAAACAAAGATATACAGATAAATCATGAGCACTTAGACGTAATGGTGACATGGATGGACAGACGCTTCCCCAACAGTACCTGGTAATTGTGATCAGATCCATCACTCACAAGGCCTCGGGCGGGGCAACCATCAGCGAAAAGAAGGCGTGGACGTTTAGTTGACAACTTATACTGTGGTAGTAATAGTAATGACGTTTTGAAATAGTTATAATGGTGGGTGAATACATACTAGCTCCTTTGCAATAAGTAAACGCGTTTAATTTCTATTGATTAAACAGGATACTGAGGAGTGTGCAAGATTCAATGACCACTATGATGGCATATGTATTTGAAAAATAATAATTATGTCCCTTGCATTTCAACATAATCGCATCGAGAGAAATATTAAACAAAAGGCAATGAAACTATTGCCATCCTCTTAGACACACAAAACACCGTTTTCAATTCCGTCCCAAACGTCAACATAAACAGTGTACCACAATAATGCCTTCGTGCTAAACAACATAACTCGGAAAGTGAAACATTGAGCTATGTTTAGACTGTGTCACACAACAAAGATGAAATAAAGCATCCACTGTGATCCGAGGTGGATAACCTGTGCTGAACACGTTTAACCAGTTCAATTGCACGTAATTCAGAAATAACGCCACGCGCAGGTACGCTGCATTCCGAACTTGTGACGGTTGGCAGTGTACTTAGCCTTTCTGTCCGCGAACCGTACACTGAAGAAACGTGTAGAAACTCGGAAAACACATCATAATAAATCTCTTCAACCAAATAAAACTCAATATCATACATTCTTTCCCCGGAAGATGGTTCGCTTGTTCATTCCAAATCCATTATGGCTAGATGGTGTAACATTTACAACGACATAGCTATTTGATACGAACTTTGGATAAACATTTAAACTCATGTCTAAAACTATTCATCTTATGAAAAATATTTTACTAAATGAAGATACATAATATTTTCTCAAGAGTGGGTTGATCGTTTCTTAAAGGAAGCAGTGTTGACATAGTACTTTTACAGTGCGTGTTCCTGGTGAGTCTTACCCTGTGATGAGCATCGCGTGGTCAAATGACGGCAACTTGTTGCCAGACTGTGTCCAGTTGTAGAATGCCCGAAGAGCTGTCTCCGATGCTATGAATTTATTTGTACTCGTCACAATACCATCCGTCTGGCAGAACAAACAGATTACAATAATACAACAAATAAACTGATAAAACAAATAAATTATTTGATTCGGGCTCGGAGAAGTTCACAGGTTACTAACGTTACATTCCATCTTCGACATTCTTCTTCAGATAATTCATTGGCGCACATCTCCAAAGAAGCAATCTTTATCTTAGCTTTGTGCGTGTGTGAAGTCAACGCCCGTAACTTGGGCACTAAAGGTTCGCTTTATACATGAATACATATCTCGAGTAGTGTCATCTCTGCATTCTGTAAACAATAATCCAATTTCTGTTGAAAACATATGAGGATGCTTGCCACGAAATCACAGCCAGAATGCCTACATGGATGTTGATTCAGTGCGTTAAACGTTATGTAACATTATAACTCTAAACAGTTTCTACTGTAACACCATGACTTTCCCTTCATTGCCTAACACGAGGACGCATCAAAGTTCCCTTCGTGAAATCCTAGTGCATATAAAATAGGAAACGGTTTGATGTAAAAGGCAAATACCTCAATCAAGGACAACATAGATGCCTCGTATTTGATGCTAAATTGTTTTAATGCTCACACATTTATCTTAAATGCAACTGGGGTTATTCAGATTATTTGTTCAATTCATTGATGGTGTGTTTTCTTCATTATAATACAAGGGTATATCTGTTGTGTGTATGTGGTCAACATATGGCGGGACGTCACTGTTTCCAGTATTAGCGCCGTACTTTTTCCTATACAACTTTCAGAATCCATTAGGCACGTTTCAGATCATAAGATGTCATTTCATAACATGGTCCTCTGTAAAAACATATTCAAGCGACAGTTAGAATTTAATTACAATCTGAACACACTTAACAGTTTTATTTCACAAAACTCCTTGCTAGGAAAAAAATGAATATTGATTTATGTTTGCAAAAGTGCTGGTGGCAAACAGTGTCAAAGTCTGATTGACATGTTGGTTCCAGTTTTAAAGAGGAAGGGGTTAGACTATCACACTGACACGCATGACAACGAGTCTACATGTTAATGCACTTGCTCACCTTTCAAAAGTACGTCTTTCCGTGTTTCTTACATTTAATCACACTACATTTACACGCCATACTTATTGATACCACTTGGGTGTCAGCTGGTTTCACGGATAATCTTAATGTAGGATCAAATGTGTATATGGCTTCTTACTGATTCAACATGGATGGATGTCAAACATTCGAGGTATAAGTAGGGATAAGGTATGACTCAGGTTTGGTATATACTTCATTTACCGACATAATTGTGATGTCAATTAACTGTACCGATAATGATTTATGATAAATTGTTTTATAACTTCTTACTGATACAAGATGGAGATCAAGTGGTTGCATAGATGATGCATGGTGGGTTTCTCTAAGTCTTCCACTTACCGATACAACTTGGATGTCAACTGGTTGCACGGATATCTGCAGTCCATTTTCCCCAAGTCCCTTGTATATTGTATCTATCTGGGAACAGGAAGGTCGCACAACGATCAGCCAGCATCTAGAAATGTTTCCACACAGGCCACACAGACATTCTCATCCCAGTGTAGTTTCTGTATCAAATATTTCCACACGAACCAACTCGTGTTGACCTACTAGTATTTGATATAAACAACAACAGGGGAGATTCTATTCATCCTCCAAAATTCTTCCAACTTTTTCAGTTTGTAAACAGTAATAACCAGTGTCAGTACACTGAGCATACAATGTACAACCAACCAACTTCAGTGGCCTAGAGATGAGGGGGGTTTCATCAGATTGATTCTGATATCACATTGGTCTGCAAAGCATTGTGCTGCAATTTGCTGTAGTGATATCTTCCAGGATACCACTCTTGATCTCCCCCAAGCCATATCTCCTGTGAAGGCCAGTTTTTTTATGATAAATACAAGTATTGGCGTCGGACAGATTCCGTTCATATACCAGCACATTAAGTCCTTGTTATGCCCTTTTAATCAAGACCATTTTCAATCATATAAAGCAAAAGAGCAATATCATGAGTTTCATACACTAATAATAAACCAGCTGTAACCTTACTAGACTCATAATGACTACTATCTTATTCTTAACAATTACAAAAAAATATGATAAAAGGTGAACGACCTATCAGCTTAAAACACAAGAAAAAGTCATACTCGACAATGATGCATAGTAAATGTGTGCATTCTATATGAAGTGTAATAGAACTCGTCATTGTGTACGTAGCATGCATATGATTGGCTGTAAGGTACATACATGTTTATCAGAAAAATTACATAATTAAGTAATTGTATTGTATGAATACCATAATAATCAGATCAATATTAAATGCGACTCCTCCTCAGAATACTTACCCCATGTATAACAGATGAATAATGTTTCCATATTGCACTTAATGCGTTCTTCTTTTTCAGGAACGCCGTGTCCCCGCTCATTTTATGGTACCACCTATGGAAAGAAACATATAGATATTCCTATTGACCAATTTGGTATGTACATCTCCATCGCTGTGGCATTATATTCCTACAATTTACTGCTTTGCGAGAATGTCAGTGAGTTGCATAAGGACTATTATCATACATATCCACTGTTTATGTAGGATCTGGAGCCAATTATTCAAAGTGACACTTTTGCCTTGTTATGATGGTTTGGTACATATTCTAGCTATGCCAACACTAATGGTAAACGCCTCGGTTAAAATTGTCATCTACAAAGCCGAAGTCCATACAAATACCATGCCTTACTTCAAGTAGGCCGAGTAGTCCACCACGACCAGCAGCTCCACCACGTGCTGCTCAGCCATCTTCATCATCCCTCCTGAAACCACACAACAGGTGCTACAGGTGGGCGGGTACTGCTGGTCAACGTTAGCTTATTGTACACACTACATGTACGGAGTTCACACTGTTTCTAACGACTCTATACAAATGGCAAAAAGACATAGTAGCGGCGTGGTAGCCTAGTGGTCAAAGCACTGGCTCGTTACGCAGAAAACCGGGTTGAATTCACCACATGTTTACAATATCTGAGCTCATCTCTAGCATAATCTTCGCCGTAGTATTGTTTGAATATTTCTTGATGTGTTGTAAATCATCACTTTTTAACAGGCTACACATATCAGAAGACTGTTAAAATAAGGACAACAATGCCGCTGACTTAATTATATCAGCCAATTAAAGTAGATAGTGACAGCACTTTAACCCGTTTCTTTGTTATCAGTGGCTGATGGAAACAATGATTATATCGAATGTATACGTTCAGTGTAATACTACTTTGTTGGTGTTTATTTCTGATCAAAACTTGATACGGATCATTATGGGTCCATCTTCGTCCTTGAGACATGTTTCTACTCTGGGAAACGGTACACTTTTACGTCTTTCGTCTATGCGAATGACCCCGACTGATATATGAACTAATGCTCTCCATGGTATTCAGATAATAATTGTTAGAAATGGAGATTGGCAGGTCATCTATAATTGATCTCTTATTAGTCAACGCTTGTTGTCCTTAACAAGGGAATTGCTCTGGCATTTCAGGACTTCTCACTGAACATTGTATAATTATCAAACGTCTTTTAACTATCTCCAATTTATATTTGTATCACCAAAACGTCCACCTACATCGATACAGTGGGTGCCGGTAATAAAGAGATGACAAAGTGTTCTCGGTAAATGGTTCTTCAAGACATAGGGAGAGATATAAAGGTAGTTCATGTCAATATGCAATCGGTGAGGCAGCTAGTTTTCTGTATATGAATGTTTCGGGACAAACGTATTTTGCATTTTCATAATTTACTAGACATACTGCAATCCTTATATTTCGAGGTCAGTCAGTGTGAAATCTCCTCGTCTTGGTTTGGATAAGTGAGTGAGTATGATTTTACGCCGCTTTTAGCAATATTCCAGCAATATCACGGCGGGGGACACCAGAAATGGGCTTCACACATTGTACCCATGTCGGGAATCGAACCCGGGTCTTCGGCGTGACGAGCTAACGCTTTAACCACTAGGCTACCCGACCGCCCCTGGTTTGGATAAGACGTGATTGAATAGATAGAGTGAAATCTCCTCGTCTTGGTTTGGATAAGGCGTGATTGAAAAAACAGAGTGAAATCTCCTCGTCTTGGTTTGGATAAGACGTGGTTGAATAGATAGAGTGAAATCTCCTCGTCTTGTTTTGGATAAGACGTGGTTGAATAGATAGAGTGAAATCTCCTCGTCTTGTTTGGATAAGACGTGGTTGAATAGACAGAGTGAAATCTCCTCGTCTTGTTTTGGATAAGACGTGGTTGAATAGACAGAGTGAAATCTCCTCGTCTTGTTTTGGATAAGACATAATTGAATAGACAGAGTGAAATCTTATCTTGACGTGTATGTTGAAACACGAAAACGAGACAGGAGTTGATATCAATGGTTGATAATCATGCAACGATTCACGCTATCGGGTTAACTGACACGTGATATACCAGGTCACATATTATAAGGTTTTTATTTGTTATCGAGAAGAGAGTTCGTCATGCCTTCAACGGATGTTTCTTTGCCAAAAACGTCCATTGTGTTAATAATTGTTATAATCAGTAGGCTCATATGTAGAATTTGTTTTTCAAATGTGATAACATTGCTAATAAACCTAATAAAAAACACTTCTTTTTTGTGTTTAAAGATGCCCTATACCATCAACGCAAGTGTCCCATAATTTGCATGATGGCTATCAGCCCATTTATATACTTAGACAGCTAAATGCGACATTGGCATTTAAGACATATTGAGCAATTTTAGGTCCATTATGCCAATCCTTAGTGGGAAAAGGTGATGCGCCGTCATGTGAAATTGTGCACTACATATGCACTGTGTTTCATTATTGAAAATATTGCATCGTATGACCTTTCTGAATAATCTAACATACACAAAAATGAATTAATGCTAATAAAATTATGTTCAAATCAAGCAGTATTGTTTAATAACCTGTGTTTGTTGATTCAACCATAATGTGTTCCTGTCCTGTCGAGCTAACAATTCAAACCAGATGCTGTCGGCATTTCGTGTTGCCTGCTGCAACCTGTCATCACACAGTGCCGTTAGGTCCCATCTGGCCACGCAAGCCCGGGTCAAGGTCAGGGTCGTCAATAAAACAGCCATCATTAAACATAATGCCCTGAATTGTGTTAATCAGAAACTAGCACTGTCAGATTGACATTTTAGTGCAAAGGTTTGCACACAAATGATATGACACACCGATATATGTCATTATTTACTTTTGCTTTTTTTATTAAATATACAACGTTATAACTGTAAGAACTTAACTAATTGTACTTTTGTCCTTCATAATGTTACAAATTGTCTCCATGTACTACGTACTAATATAGACGAACTTGACAACAACGACGCAGTTTTAAACCTAATCCTCAGCAGCAAGTATACATTTCTGCAGTATAGTGCATTTGGAAAGAAACACATTAAACAAATGCAGTTGAGAATTGCAAGCCTTGCAAATTACCTTGGAAGGAGTTTGAGTGCGATGAGGTTTAATCTGGTGTTGATATTACGTGGTGTTTAACGACGCGACTAACACGTGGAACTGTTTGTTGGTTTCGACAACGGTCTTCCAGCAGTCCGATACATGGCCACCTCAGCAGGTGACAAAGACCACGTGCAGCACCTTTCATGTCGGTCAGTGACACATTATCGCCAACACAGCACATAACTCACATAGCTCACCCACACCTCGCTTCGGCAGCGTAAATACAGATATTAAACAAGGGATCCGTTCACAAACTGAATTTAAGGCAAACATAGTTTTTCCAGACCTTTGCGCAAACTAAAATCACGCAATATCATACCATTTTTCATATGATGCTGCTGTTAACGACACAGGATGATATTGCCAATGGTGAGATGGTATCTGATGACACCGGCATATGATAATATCGATGAGGTTGAATATTATCTGATGATGACAATATTTTACTGTGTGGGTGATGCTTGAATATTATCTGATGATAACAACAGTTTGCTCTGTGGCTAATTGTTGAATGTCATCGGTTAATTTTGTCCAACTTTCCGTCGCCGTGTTAGTCATGCTCATAGCTTCATGCAACGATGTTCCTATGATTAGAACATTAACCGCATTCATCTATAACGCAGTACATATGAGGAAGTCGACGAGTGCTCTAGGCGGAACAGCCTCTATGTACAACGGGCTGTTGGTCACAACACATGCAATAACAAAGTGAAATAATGCGTACGGAGGACGGTAACTGGGGATGGCAATGCCACCTATGGATAGATGTCATCTGGTGACATGTGATGGGTATGGTGACGACACAGGCCGACAACATTATCACATCGTTACGACAACGTCCTCGACACCCCATGCATGTTGCAGTAGCTTGACGTGTCTTCACGTGTCTTGAGCGTGCATAGATGCCTCAATAGTCACCGTTTCTTCAGTTTCCTGTGTTTATCAATAATACTGTTCATACTATATCTAGTATTTTGTAAATGTCTACCTTCTATGGAGACTTCGGTCGTTCCTCAAACTGGCAGATTGACAGAAAAGTTAGTCTACATCAAATAAAGACCCGTTGTCGGCCTTGCAACGTGAGTCAAGATCAAACATGAGCTCCGTTATGGGTTTTTTAACTCCAGTCTAGATGAAAAGACATAGGCTCTGTCGTGGGCCTTGCAACGTCGTCTAGATCAAACATAGGCTCTGTCGTGGGCCTTGCAACGTCGTCTTGATCAAACATAGGCCCTGGGATTGGCCTTGCAACGTAAGTCTACATCAAACAAACACAGGCTCCGTTGTGTCATTCTAGATCCGACAAAAATAGGCTCTAATTCCAGAATGTGTGTTTGGTGTAAATGTGTATGTAATGCCTGTCACGGACACGGGCCATGTTAACAACATTACGTACATTCAGTGTTATGCGCCTGAGGATATATGTGTCCAAGTATGTAGTTCCATGAAGTATATCTATGCGTACAACACGATAGTCACTATAAATCTGCTGATTGACTCCACCTGAACAGGGGCATGGCATACGCCATAAAACATACTATTACATAGAGATGGATTTCTTTGAAACTTAACATTATCTAATTCGTGAAGGTGACCAGTGAGCTGGTCGCGAATCAGGAACAATGGGATGACTTCGCTTATTGAATTCATAAAACACATTTCTCCTGCGATAGGTAATATCTTTAAATATTATGTCACAAGACAGTAGGACATTTGTCATAGTGAGTGAGTGATTATTTCTTATAGTCTTGCACCTCCTCGCGGCGAGACATTTGTCAAAAGCTGACCTGAATATCAGTCAGAATGGCTAATCATGAGTAGTTTATCAAATGTTTCCTAAAGTCTTGTTGAGTGTTGTAGCAAAAGCACAACAATGTAAATATTTCTTTCCATATATACCATCAAAAATTAACCATCCAGGAAAGTATTATTTGTGAAAATATGTTTTACTTCAAATCAACATTAGGATATTTCTAACCCCCGGGAATAATTGATTCCATGAATTTTATATCTTTACATCAATAACTCCGAAATGCCGGAAAATTTCTTATATGCTCTATACTTCAAGGGTAACATAATTCTAAGGTGATAGTATTCTCATTATTTGATAACATTGAATACCAATTAACAAAAGATCACATCATAATGGTTGCCATTCACGAACATCAATTTGTAATATATAGCTTAATTTATGATTTAATATATTTTAATAAAGAATGATGAAGCATGTTGTGTGCTAGATATATGTGACTAGTAACAAGAGACAGAGAACTTACAGCAGACCGGTGTGCTCCACGTCAGAGGGAAGCCTGACAAGCGACCTCTCTTCATAAAACTGTCATCGCTTACACCGAAGGATACTGAGATAAGACTGCTGACAGAATGCCATTACCTGGGCAGGCTTTAAAAGCCCCTGTTATGGAAATAGCAAATACTCACTGTTGAAGAAGTAACGTGGCTGAGATGCGACAAGGCCGAGTACGGAGGTCAACGATAACAAAATAATTCTCCATGTCATTGTTCAAGTAAATGTCTTGACTATTGTCACACAGGCAAGATCAAATGACAACTCCGTGACTGCTGGTTGTGACTGACCCACATTCAGGCAAGGCTGCAGTCCCGGCACCTCTATCAGTCTCTCACTGTGTTGCTTATATAGACGGAGCGTGAAGGGAGGACCCGGGATGCCGTTTAAGTGCTGTTATATAATGCTAACTGGCATATTATTAGGGTTTCAGCTACGTATACTCGTTTCTCAGCACTGCAGTTACCTTAACTGCAACACAAGAAATTACTTGCACTTATTACACAAGCAAGCACAAACATGTATTGCTGTTATGCATTTGTTTGCTTAAAATACTGTTTTGAGAAAGGCTAACTGATTTGAGAAGTGCCCTTCAATTGATAATTGTAGACACCGAACATCAATCAAGTGTTGGCATATAACGTTAACATTTATTGTTGGTATAGGCAGTCTATATTTCAGTCTCAGGTGATCGATATTAGTTATATTGTTGCATAGCGTATAGTCGGCAGTGTCGTGAACTGTTCCAGTACCCAACTTAATGGTCGGCAGTGTCGTGAACTGTTTCTGTACCCAACTTATTGGTCGGCAGTGTCGTGAACTGTTTCTGTACCCAACGTTTTGGTCGGCAGTGTTGTGAACTGTTTCTGTACCCAACTTATTGGTCGGCAGTGTCGTGAACTGTTTCTGTACCTAGCTTATTGGTCGGCAGTGTCGTGAACTGTTTCTGTACCCAACTTATTGGTCGGCAGTGTCGTGAACTGTTTCTGTACCTAGCTTATTGGTCGGCAGTGTCGTGAACTGTTTCTGTACCTAGCTTATTGGTCGGCAGTGTCGTGAACTGTTTCTGTACCCAACTCATTGGTCGGCAGTGTCGTGAACTGTTTCAGTACCCAACTTATTTGTCAGCAGTGTCGTGAACTGCTTCTGAACGCAACATATTAGGGACGGACCATTTTATATTTAGGGGGGTGGGAGCAGGTTTATGGGGTAGAGTCATGTTTTGTTTTCTTCATTTTTAGGAGCTGAGATTTCTTTTCTTCTTAAAAAGAGCTGAGATTTCTTTTCTTCTTAAAAGAGAGCTGAAATATCTTTTCTTCTAAAAAGAGAGCTGAGATTTATTTTCTTCTTAAAAGACAGCTGAGATTTCACTTCTTCTTAAAAGACAGCTGAGATTTCGTTTCTTCTTAAAAGAGAGCTGAAATATCCTTTCTTTTCTTCTTAAAATAGAGCTGAGATCTTTTTTCTTCAAAGAGAGCTGAGATATTTTTTTTGTACAGGCTTATGATTAAAGGGTATACTCCGAATGTTTGCTGTATACATGAAACAGACAAAGGATATAATATTTTGTTGCACTCTGGAAACATATTGAAACAATTAGGTATTTTGGATAAATGAAGTTTTGAAGAAACCTATTGAAGCGGTTTGTACCATAACAATACACCTGTACGACGTGTAGCTTTTGTCCCCCCAAATCGTTTTAAAAATATGTTTTTGCCTCAGATTGGTCAGAAATAGGACACTCTCATTTACATCATCACAAAATAGAAACAGGTGACGCCAGGCCAATGAGACTCCTCATTTATAGGCAAAACGCAGCCATTAGGGCAGAATGTTCCAGAAGGTGCAAGAAATGTTAGAAGCCAAAATCATGTCGCCCAGTTCTTCTGAATGGCACTCTCCCGTCTCCCATGGTTTAAAAACGCCCTCTACTAACCGTAGATTATATTATATTATACAGTTATATATTATACAGTTACCCAGCCTATATTTTCCCCCTCTACCACTTTTTTGGGAAGATGTCGTTGATCCCGTTGGAGACAGCCATGCTAAAATGTTTATTAGTGTCCTTGATTGTGCTAGTGTATTTTGGCAAATACCACTGCATCCAGATACAAAATACATGTCGACCTTCATTTAGCAGTTCAGCAAACGATTTTAGAGAGGCACTCAAATATATGAATTGGCGTTGCATACTAATATATGTAGATAAAATCATAATATTTCCTAAAACGTTTTTGGAAGATTTTAATCCCCTCAAGTCAGTACTCCAAAAGATCAAAGAAGCAGAACTCACTTTAAAACCAAGCAAATGTAAATCTGCGACAAAACAAGTCACCAACTTAGGGCATACCTTCAGCGAAGATGGCATCTATGCCAATCCTTCAAAAGTAAATTCAGTCACACAGCTCCCACCCCCTAAAATCTCCATGACGTGCATCATTTCTTGGGTTTGGCCTTGTATTATCACAAATTTGTAGCAAACATTTATGGCATCTCCTCTCCTCTGATGCATCTCAAACTGCAATAGTGTACATTTTAGGCCAACTTGACTCTCATGGCATAACTTGTAATGATGTTGTTAATTCATGTCTTTTGACAATACAAGTATCTTATTTGAGATTGGTCCTGTTCTGTTTTTAGGAACAAACAATGTTGGTTGGCTATGTTTATATTGTATTTTGTTCCAAGTAAGGGTAATTGGTGCTTAATGGTCATTTCCCATCACAGTAACTGTTATGGTCACTTGAAATGGAAGATTTAAAATGACTTTAAATAAATAAATAAGGGTTACAGGCATCTCTCATGGTCATGTCATTCTGTCAAAGAGTATGGCATTGCTCACGAAATACTGTATTGATAATCGGGCGGTGTCAGTAACACAGTGTATTGTGTATTAGTCGGGCGGTGTCAGTAACAGTGTATTGTGTATTAGTCGGGCGGTGTCAGTAACAGTGTATTGTGTATTAGTCGGGCGCTGTCAGTACCAGTGTATTGTGTATTAGTCGGGCGGTGTCAGTAACAGTGTATTGTGTATTAATCGGGCGGTGTCAGTAACACAGTGTATTGTATAGTATATTGGGCGGTGTCAGTAACACAGTGTATTGTGTATTAGTCGGGCGGTGTCAGTAACAGTGTATTGTGTATTAGTCGGGCGGTCTCAGTAACAGTGTATTGTGTATTAGTCGGGCGGTGTCAGTAACAGTGTATTGTGTATTAGTCGGGCGGTGTCAGTAACAGTGTATTGTGTATTAGTCGGGCGGTCTCAGTAACACAGTGTATTGTGTATTAGTCGGGCGGTGTCAGTAACACAGCGTATTGTGTATTAATCGGGCGGTGTCAGTAACACAGCGTATTGTGTATTAGTCGGGCGGTGTCAGTAACACAGCGTATTGTGTATTAGTCGGGCGGTGTCAGTAACACAGTGTATTGTGTATTAATCGGGCGGTGTCAGTAACACAGTGTATTGTGTATTAGTCGGGCGGTGTCAGTAACACAGTGTATTGTGTATTAATCGGGCGGTGTCAGTAACACAGTGTATTGTGTATTAGTCGGGCGGTCTCAGTAACACAATGTATTGTTAATTAGTTGGGCGGTCTCAGTAACACAGTGAATTGTGTATTAATCGGGCGGTGTCAGTAACACAGTGTATTGTGTATTAATCACGCGGTGTCAGTAACACAGTGTATTGTGTATTAATCGGGCGGTGTCAGTAACAGTGTATTGTGTATTAGTCGGGCGTTCTCAGTAACACAATGTTTTGTTAATTAGTTGGGCGGTCTCAGTAACACAGTGTATTGTGTATTAATCGGGCGGTGTCAGTAAAACAGTGTATGGTGTATTAATCGGGCGGTCTCAGTAACAGTGTATTGTGTATCAGTCGGGCGGTGTCAGTAACATAGTGTATTGTGTATTAATCGGGCGGTGTCAGTAACTCTGTATTGTGTATTAATCGGGCGATGTCAGTAACAGTGTATTGTGTATTTATCGGGCGGTGTCAGTAACACAGTGTATTGTGTATTAGTCGGGCGGTCTCAGTAACACAATGAATTGTGTATTAATTGGGCGGTGTCAGTAACAGTGTATTGTGTATTAATCGGGCGGTGTCAGTAACACAGTGTATGGTGTATTAATCGGGAGGTCTCAGTAATACAGTATATTGTGTATTGGTCGGGCGGTGTCAGTAACAGTGTATGGTGTATTAATCGGGAGGTCTCAGTAACAGTTTATTGTGTATTGGTCGGGCGGTGTCAGTAACAGTGCATTGTGTATTGGTCGGGCTGCCTCAGTAACAGTGTATTGTGTATTGGTCGGGCTGTCTCAGAAATACAGTATATCGTGTATTGGTCGGGCGGTGTCAGTAACAATGTATTGTGTATTAATCGGGCGTTGTCAGTAACACAGTGTATTGTGTATTAATCAGGCGGTGTCAGTAACCCAATCTATTGTGTATTAATCGGGCGGTCTCAGTAACAGTGTATTGTGTATTAATCGGGCGGTGTCAGTAACACAGTGTATTGTGTATTAGTCGGGCGGTCTCAGTAACAGTGTATTGTGTATTAGTCGGGCGGTGTTAGGAACAGTGTATTGTGTATTAGTCGGGCGGTGTCAGTAACAGTGTTTTGTGTATTAATCGGGCGGTGTCAGTAACACAGTGTATTGTGTATTAGTCGGGCGGTGTCAGTAACACAGTGTATTGTGTATTAATCGGGCGGTGTCAGTAACAGTGTATTGTGTATTAGTCGGGCGGTGTCAGTAACACAGTGTATGGTGTATTAATCGGGCGGTGTCAGTAACAGTGTATTGTGTATTAATCGGGCGGTGTCAGTAAAACAGTGTATGGTGTATTAATCGGGCGGTCTCAGTAACAGTGTATTGTGTATTAATCGGGCGGTCTCAGTAATACAGTGTATTGTGTATTGGTCGGGCTGTCTCAGTAACACAATCAATTGTGTATTAATCGGGCGGTGTCAGTAACAGTGTATTGTGTATTAATCGGGCGGTGTCAGTAACACAGTGTATGGTGTATTAATCGGGCGGTCTCAGTAATACAGTGTATTGTTTAGTAATCGGGCTGCCTCAGTAACAGTGTATTGTGTATTGGTCGGGCTGCCTCAGTAACAGTGTATTGTGTATTGGTCGGGCGGTGTCAGTAACAGTGTATTGTGTATTGGTCGGGCGGTGTCAGTAACAGTGTATTGTGTATTAATCGGGCGATGTCAGTAACAGTGTATTGTGTATTGGTCGGGCTGCCTCAGTAACAGTGTATTGTGTATTGGTCGGGCGGTGTCAGTTACAGTGTATTCTGTATTAGTCGGGCGGTGTCAGTAAAACAGTGTATGGTGTATT